TGAGAATAACTCGACAACCCCCTTGTGACAAGCTTGATCCACAACTATCGTCTATCTTTTCCACCCTCTTAGATTCTTATTTTCCTTAACGGGAAATCGAGTTCAAGCAGCAGCTGTTACTGTTGCTATAATACTACTCGACTTTTTTCTATCCTTTTTTTTTATTTACTTTTTCTTCCAAGGAATAAACTGTATTCGTGAAGAGAGTATACGTATTACTTATTTAAGTATAATAAAGTATAATAATTGTTTAAACGTGGTTTTTTTGGGGGGATCTAAGTTATGCAAAATCTTATTATTAGCAATTTTCAAATCTTAGCAAATATTTCTTTCGTAAAATACATTAAGTAATTTTATAATTCTATATTTTTTTTATTTCGATCAAAAATTATGAGAATAAAATTAAATTACAATTATAAATTAAAGAAATGATCGAATCATAGATAATCAAAAATGAACAACTAAATCATGATAGAAATAAATCAATTATAGTTAATTTTAAATATCATTCGTTAAAATCACATAATTATCAATTAATTTAATTATCAATATAACAAATAATTCTTAACTTTCTGTGATATAACTTCATGATTCATTATCTATTTCCTAGATATTATACAACTCATGAAACAAAACAAAACAAAAATAAAGAAATATAAATAAACGAACATAAGAGAAAACGTTTTACTACAGACGTGTTCCCGTAGGAATGATTTGTCATTCGGATGACAGGTAATTTCAGGGTTGAAAGTGTAATTGAAGAGAAAGAGACAGAGAGCAACGAGAACGAGAATGAGAATGAGAGAATAAGAGAGAAAGAGAGGTGAAGTGAGAGAAGAAGAAGAAGAAGAGGAGGAGGAGGAGATGGAGGGAAAAAGGGGAGGAGGAAGGTGAAGTGAAAGAAGAAAGGGTGCGGCAGTGAACGAGTTGACGAACACAATGCTATATCTTTGCTATATAACGGAGAATTAAACGGCATTAAGATGAACGCGACAAGGATGTCATCGTCATCCGTTAAGATGATGTACGATAATAACTTCAAGATAATGATGTTTCTAAAGGAATACAAGTTATATATTTTTCTATTCTTTATAGAAAATATAACTTATTATAGCTTATTATAACTAATTGTTACTAATGTCCTGAGTATATTAGAAAAAGAAACTTAGAAGAATGATTATACTTGCATCATTAATTTATAAAATATATTTTATAATGTAATATATGAATTATGAGAAGAACAATAGAATCGAATATTTAGCAAATAAATCCCATATATATTATAAAATAAACTTTAAAGAGAGAGAACGATTACTTATATATAATTAATTTATAAAATATATAATTTATATAAAATATATTATGAAAAAAATTATAATATATATAATATATTTTATAATATATAATTTATAAAAACAATAATATACAAAATCGAATATTTAGCAATTAAATCTCATATATATTATAAAAAATAATTATAAAATATATAATATATTTCATGATATATAATTGATAAAAAGAAATGACACAAAATCGAATATTTAGCAAATAAATACCATATATATTATAAAATAAACTTTAAAGAGAGAGAGAGAGAGAAAGAGAGAGAGAGAGAGAGAACGATTACTTATATAACTAATTTATAAAATATATTTTATAATATAATATAATTTATATCGAATTATTATTATTATATAATTTATGAAAAAAAATGACAAAATCAAGTATTTATCAAATAAACCCCTATATATATATTTTAAAAGAAACTTTAAAGACTTTAAAGAACGATTAATTACATATAATTAATTCATAAAATATATTCAACAATATATAATATAATTTATGAAACAAAATTGACAAAATATCAAAAGCATTCATCAAATAAATCTGATCTTCAATGGACATTGAAAAGTTCGAGCAAACTTGTCGTTTATTCTCTTAAAAAAAAAAGGACAAAAACTTATATAATCCTTAATACTCTTTCATAAGTAATTATGTATATACTTAACTCTTATGTTAGTTAGTTAGTAGGAATTTGAAGTGGCACGACGCGACGTTAGAACTTATAATAAGTCGAGTGGTGAAAGGACGTAACTGATTAAAAAGAGAACTCGACCAATCTAATTTCTCGTGCGGTAAACGTCGCGGTTCTTTTCCGTACTCGAGAATACGAAAAGGGGAATGAGAGGGGGAGGGAGTAGAGAGGAAAAGGGAAGACAGAGAGAGAGAGAGAGAGAGAGAGAGAGAGAGAGAGAGAAGATAGAAAAGGGCGTATTCCAAAGTCCTGTGCAATTAGATGGTTCTTCCTTCGAAGGATCGAGAAGGGCAGGGATTCGAGTACTCTTTTATATACTCGAGAAAGATCACGAGGACTCTGTTTATTTCATTTACGATTCAAACCGACGAAAATTTCAACTTCTTACTTTTTGTTTATTTTTTCCTTTTTTTAAGATGGAAGGGAAAGAAACGTTATGGGGGAAAGAAAAATATATCAACTTTAAGTATATCGAATTTTAAATGATGAATGATGATTCTTTTTTACTTCTCCATTTGTAGATTGTAAATTTGTACCTGGTTGGTTATATTTCTTATTTTTCTTTTTTTTTTGTGTGTGTATGCGTTTAGTTTTAAAGCCGGTAACGCACCGCAAATTTTCTTCCATGATAAATCGTCGTCGTTGTTGTCATTGTCATTGTCATTTCTTTTTTCAGTAAGATGGAATATTTAGTTGTACGCGGAAGAGAATTTTACGTGTAAACTTCACGCACCCTTCACTTCGAGAAAAAGGTTGAAAGAGCAAAAGAAATATATATATATATATAAAGAGAGAGAAAGGAAAGTATCACGGTATATGATAAATGGCCATTTCTTTTGAATATGACACCTGTTTTAAAACTTCGTTCACTCTACATGCACCTTATTTCCATAAAATGTTACGTATTTCTTCTTCTTCTACTTCTTCTCCATCTTCTTCTTTTTCGTACAATTTTTCTCTTTCTCTCTCTTTGAAAAATAAACGTATCATATTTTGATTAAAAATTACATGGAATTTTCTTTTCTTACAAATAAATTGACATTTATTACAAAAGTCTTACTATTGAGATAAAAAAAAAATTGATGCATGATGTATATTATGCAATTTTTAAATAATAAAAAATTAATAACGATTTAATCTAAAGTAATTAAATGAAAACTTTTTGAATGTACTCTGTAACATTGAACTTAATATTTAAAATAATAAATTAACATATATATATATATATTAAATTATATTAATTAAATACAAAAATATAATAAATTATAGATTAAATGCAAAAATACAATAAATTATAAATTAAATACAAAAATACAATAAATTATAAATTAAATACAAAAATACAATAAATTATAAATTAAATACAAAAACAACAAATAAAATTAATATTAAATTATTAATTAAATATAAAATATATACAATAGTATAATATATATATTTTATTTTTGAAATATGTAATATATTTTTGTATAAGAGTAAAACTATAAAATACACGAAGCTTAAAGAAACGCACATTTAGCAGTCGAAGTTCAGCCTGTTTAAAGAATCGTGAAGGAGGGTTTCAACCCTCGACCTCCGACAAACGATATCGTGGTGCAGTTTCTCGCCTCTTTCTCTCCTACAACTAGTTCACTACTTCTGCAGTACTGCCCCTTTGGGAAAAAGTTCGTTTGAGCAGTATACTGCAAGAGGGTAAAAGACAAAGCTTAGATATTATTCCTCGTTAGAACGGATCATCGACTCTGAAAATTACTTTTCTAACCTTTACACGATCACGACTAGTTGTTTTCATTTACATATGATTTACAAACGATTTTTCCATAGTTTTAACATATTTTACAAAAAAAAAAAAAAAAATCAATAAAATCAATTATCAAACGAAAAAAATAATCAAATCTGATTCCTTCAAAATTTTGTCAATTTTAAATCAAGTTCGATTAATTTTTAATTAAATCACTTATAAATTCTTTTTTCTTTTTTTTTGATTGATTGATTGATTTATTTAGGACTACGATGTTCATGAATGTAAGAAATAACATGTAAAAATTATTATCGAACTATAAGAAAAATTGTCGAATTGAAAATATTTTTAAATTTTGTCTTTAAAGTCGAGTTTATTCGAGTCGATCTGATGCATTTTAAAGCGAAACTTATTCCACGTGAGATCACAAAGGTAAAACGATAATCCATTTCGGTGTAGAAATTGCTTTAAAAAACGCAATTTGTTATGAAATTTCTTATGCGAGTTATGCTTATCGAATACGATAATATAATATCTATTTCTTTGAACTCGTGTTTTTCAAGTTTTCAAATCTATTGAAGTAAAAAGTTTATTCAAATTTTTAACTAAATATTCCAATGATAAAGAAAATAATGAGAGAGAGAGAGAGAGAGAGAGAGAGAGAAAATCGTACGCGATTTTGAATAAAATAATAAAAGTACATTAGGTAAATATAATAAAGAATTATTCCTACATTAAAAATAATTTCCCTTCCCATCACAATACTAATATTATTAAATAATTATTATATATGATTTATCGTATTAATAGTTCTAAAATTGAAACGTCACGAAAATAAGTAAAAAAAAATAAAAGTAACATAAAGAAGATAGAAGAGATCAGAGATCGTATGACGTGTTCGTATATAGAAACTGCAAAAGGTATGTAAAAATATCTTCTGCAACTAATCGACAACACCAAAGCTTTTGACCTGCCTTTGTCTTTTTTACACAAATAACGCATACATACATATATACATACATACACGCAGACACCCTCATACATTAGATGCACCTAGATGCATAACAATAACGTCTTCAGTAAACAGTAAAAGAAGACAAGTATATATATAGATATAGATATACTCTCGATTAGCTTATAATCAATCAACCTGGTATACAAAAAACATATCGAATTACTTAAAGTTATAAAAAAAAAGCAAGAGATAATAATATTACGTCTTACCTTCTTTCCCATCTAACATCATTCTCCATCAGCTTGGACTCTTCTCAAATTAATATAATAATCTCAACATTATATTCCTTCCAATTGACGTTTTATATACGAAATTTTAAAAACATTTTTCTAATATTTATCTTTTCTTCCATGCGAATAACACACTCGAAAAAAAACACAAAATGATTTAACGTAAATACGCGTGTAAGGTATAATTAATATAGATTAAGAGAAAAAAGAAATAAAATAATAAACAAAAATTCACACGAGAATGATCATTAAAAATGGCAACACGAATTATTATCTTTTTTTCTTTAATTTTTTTGTTATTATTCAAACGTGATCACGTGATTAATAATACACGATATGAATATTCGTAAATCGTATATGGTAAATAACACTCGAGAAAAATAGAATGGGTAAATGAGTAAGAGTGAGTGAGTGAGTGAGTGAGTGAGTGAGTGAGAGAGAGTTAGATAGATAGAAAAAGGAAATATGTGTGTATATGTGTATGTATATGTTCGTGAATCGAGAGAGTAAAAAAAAGAGAAAGAAAGATAGTGAAAAGAGAGACAGAAGAAAGAGATAGATAGATAGATAGAAAAAAGGATCGAAAAATTATAAAATGCACTCACGACGACGTTTCAAACGAGACTAACCGAACTCTGCCGGCTCTCTAGGTACACGCAACGAGTCCTGTGGGTAGTGGTGGGGGCAACGGTGAGATGAGGCGCAGGGCCGTGCCAGAGAAAGGGTAGTGCCCCTCCCCACCCACTCTTCGCATATTCTCTTCTTCCTTGTCGATATTCTACCTTTCTCTTTCTCGCTTCCTCTTTCCTTATATATATATTATATTTTATCGTACTATAATAATCACAGGATGATTCGTTACACGTTGAAATATTTCGTGATAATTTGTGGTATTTTATTTTTTTTTTGTAAATAATTTTATTCATGAATATAAACGATTGGGTAATTAATTACGTTTATTTATTGCAAAAATTTGTTTCATTATTATACGCGATTAAATCAACTTTGATTGATAGTAGTTAACGTATAGCATTATTATAAAAATGATTTAAGTCAATTCACAAAAATATATCCACAGAAAACCTCCACCTCAACATACATGTAACGAATCATCCTCTATATATATATATACGACGTATCCCGGGAGGATATCGACACGATCGTTTCGAGTCGAGCATCACAAGGGGATAACCCACGTCGAATTACCGGATTTTTCGTCCCGCGTTTTGTTACGGAAATCGGAATCACTACGGTGAGCATAGGAATTCTCTCGTACATCATACATATGTATGTTTTATATATCTGCATTAAGGGTGGTTGTTAATTTTTTTGTTCTTTCTTTCTTTCTTTTTTTTTTATGTTTGAGGGAAAGAGAGTATGAGAGAAATTAATGAGCGTATTGTCAATACCAATTTAATTTGGAATTAATGTAAATAAATCGTATTCGAGTTTCAATACGTTTTCTTGATATTAAATATGCGATTAAAAGGGGCAGAAGGGGAGGGATAAAATTTGTTCGTAATTAAATTATCGGTTTTTTCTTTGTTTGCTTTTACATATGACGAGTTTTAAATAAATTTTGCTATTTTAAAGTGCGTTTAAGAGGGCAAAATTTGTTTTTTCGTATTTCACTTTGTTATTTATTTTCAACAAATATCTGAAATTATTCGATACTTCTCGTATTATTTAAATATAAAAGAAAGTATGGGCCATTGAACGCACCGTTTTAATAATCACGATAAAGTGCTGAAACTTGAAAACGATTTTTCTTCTTTTTTTTTATTTCACGTTAAAATTGCTGAATGCATTCATACAAATTTAAAAAAAAAAAAAAAAGCCTCGATTACTTTAGTATATATTTTAACGTGCGTACACAAAAGACATAGAAAGATGGTAAATCAATTAACTGTAAAAGATTCAATTTATTTTTATCATTTTTTTTTTTTTTTATTATTATTTCGAATCAATATAATATAATATCTAGGGAAATAATTGAAGTCAGTTGAGTGATTGAATAGAAACTATTTATAATCTTTCAATCGATTTCAATTTGTAATATATGTATGTATGATTATCTAATAGAAATGAATATATAACGCATGATTTAACGAAGTAACATTCCGTTACGTGGACATTGAACCGTGTGTTAATAAATCGAAATCACGTAATTGCATTGTATGCGAGTGATTATTCAGCGTCACATCAATCCATCATCGTTTCCGTATTTAATGTTCCCATATATGCCAATCAGGAAAGAACGAACTATTCAAAATGATTATCGTCATCAGAAAATTTGCATTTTTTTTCAAAAAATATACTCACCATATCTCCAATTTTATCCTACAATATGTATCTACAATTTTTAAAACAAAACATTTACATAAATATAAATTATACCAATATCTGCATCAGTTCGTATCTATATGTTTTTAATTTTAATTTTAAAAATTAAAATCCACCCCCATAAAAATCTATTTATTATTATCATAATAAACCACTGAGTATATCTTAAGTATGCATAATAACTATATCTATATACTTATACGAGATTTTTATTCTTTGTATCAATGCAACGTAATCCAAATGTTCGTTGAAATATCAATTTATGGTTATCAATACAAAACACCTGCGTACACCTGCACCTACACTTCAAATCAATCCCTGTACCCATTTATGTATGTAAATGTGTGTGTAAGCGTGTGTGTGTGTGTGTGTGTGTGTACAGGTGTAGATATTGGAAGTGGTTTGCTCGTTCGAAGAGAAAATTGAACGATCGCGGAGACTGCTTAATGAGCTAACCAATTAACACATTCAAATGGTAGAAACGTTAAAGGTAGTCCAGGCGATTCAGAATGGGAGGAAGGGCTTTGTGAATGTGCAATTGCAGTCGATCCCTTTTCGCGGTTCTCGATGTTCATCGTTACGGAGTAACGCGTTTATTCGCGCGTATGTTAATCATTGACGAAAAAGGATGAGAAGGGTTCACATATCGGTTCTTTACATATGGACTTATATAAAATATATATATATGTATATAATATAAGGGAAGTTTAAACATCAAGTACTCTAACTCACCCTACTCAAAGCTAAAAGAGATCTAGTGAAGCAAAAGGGAAATATACTGAAAAGGCTGATTAGAACCAATAGAAAGGGAGAAACGTTAGACGATCTTCAACCCCTTAAAAAGGTTTAATCCCACAAATAGAACCTATTAGGATCTTTCATGTTGGAATGGTACTTTTTTTCGTATTAATGAAAAAATTGTAACTTTCATAGAAATATAACATACATATATGTATGTCCTTTGTGTTACGTATTTTCATTTTTGTATGATGAAAAATTTGTTTTCTATTTTTAAAATTTTTTATTTCTATCTCAATATATTGTAGAGGATGATATGAACAATTAATTAGATTATACTAAAAATATCAAAATATTTTTTGCGATGATTCTTGAAGAACGAAACTCAATGTGCACACGACATAAAAATATCATACCTCAACTTTCTGATACTCTTTAATATTTAACGCATCACGATGAAGGAATCGATAGACCGGTTTTAAATTTAAAATTTAAATACATACTGCATTCAAATTATACTTTTCTTCATTTGACTTTACGACTATTATAATTATTAAAATTGTTTTATTTATTATTAATCAAACCGGTATAAGTCCCAAATTGATCTTTATTTATATTTAATGATAAAAATATAAGTTCTTACTTTTTAATGACCACTCCATATTCGAACGATTAAATAACGTAACATAATTTAATTGACAATAAACCGTATCAAAGCCGATTCAATTATTTCTTTAATCAATTTAAAACGAAATCAATTCCGAATTCGATAAAAAATATTGTTTTATTTTCAATCTAAATAATTTTATCATAGTAATAAAAAAATAAAAAACCGTTCTAATTCAAAGTAATAGATACGGCCCTGTACGTATCAGATTTTGATGTTCAACTTCGATGCAACATTTTGCTCATTCACATAGATCTTCGGACAATGATAGGAAATAAAAGTACATTGGCATCTTTTAAAAGAAATAATTTTCTTTTTATATAACAGTCGGATGGAGTGGAGGGGGTGGGGGAGGAGAAGGGGGAACAGGTAAACGTCTTAGAAAGCTCTCAAAGAATCATATTTATTCCTCGCACGATCGAAGAAAAAACTGAGCGCAGTAGAGAAATTATTTATACGCATCGTAATGAATATGATAAATAAATTACGAACTCTGCGTGTGTATGTATGCATATGGTTCTTATTTTATATTGGTGCGGTTTATTAAATTCTTTCCATTAACAGTCAACCAACCAGCTGGTGTTCCAGTTCTAGAACCGAATCCCGTGTGTTTCACTAGGTTAGAGAGACAAGTCTGTTTAATTCGAACAATTTTCCAACACGAATTCAACTAAATATCTACCCCAATATTACCAAACGATTAATCGTCCAGTTAATTACGTTGAATGTGTTACTTTATATATTTCTCTTGTTAATTCTCTCTCTCTCTCTCTCTCTCAGTAAAGTATAATGCTATAAATGAAGCAAGTACGCGAAAATTATCGAAATTCCTGCGTTAAGTTAATTACGACAGAAATAAATGTACATAAAACCTCATATTATCAAATAATAATAGTTACCAACATAATGGATTAGTTATATTGATTTTACACTTAATTAAACTATATGAAATAATATTTAATTCGTTTATTGAGATTTATTTTATATTTCTGTAATATTCAAATATTGAATTTGTTCAAGAAAAAAGAAAAGAAAAAAAAAGAAAAGAGTGTATAAAACATACGTTATTTTTTTAAATTTACACAAGTTTTGTATCAATGATAAATTTCCAAACTTATTTATCTTCAATTTTTATTTATTTTTTTCATGCAAATTTATCTCTTTGTTCTTATGTACAAACATCCCTTATACAAGAAATACTCTGTATACCGAAAATAACGATAAACTTAAATAACAAAAAAAAAAAAAAGAAATATAAATATTTGTTAATATCAGATAGTATCATATTATTTCTTGTCTCGCACCTATTAGTACCTCATAAATTAGAGAAAAGAAAATCTCTCGAGAAACCCACAACAAACTCCTCGGAGACCATTTAGCGGATTTAATCTCTGATCATAAATTTTATCTGGAAAAAGAAATAATCGTCGTCCTACTTAGAAAGTAAGATATAAGAAGGGAGAGTGGGGAAGGGGGCAGGGAGAGTTTATTTAAGCTATCAAACGAATGAAATAAAGAAAAATCGATAGGATCGAAAGGATAGCCGCCTGCCTTTGGATAGAAATTTGAAAAGAATACCTTCCCCTTTTTCCCCATCCCCTTTCCTCGAATGGTTTCAAGAAAGAAATAAAAAAATAATAGAGATGTTACACGAGTATATAGAAATTCATCTTCCTAT